TGTCAAAAACTCGTTGTATTCCTGTTACTCTTTTAAATAAAGGTGCTTTAGTAAGCGATTTACATTATGGACCATTTTCTTGTTATTGATGGCAGCCTTCTGATAATGGAAAAGTATTCTCTATTCGTGGTTTTCTTTTTGGATCAGTAAGAAACAATCTTTAAAAAATAGGTAGGTGTCTTTGAAAATATACAACAGGTCAATAACATCAACCGCTACATCTTAAAAACAATGGCTATTATTGCTCAAGCACTAGAGAGTAAATATTTTTTTAATTTCTTCACAGCATAGTGGACACTGTTGCAGATCACAAAAACAACTATTTCATTGGCCAGATTTTTGTCGATCTTATTTCCAATTATCACATAAAATATAATTTTGATTGGTTTGATGATTATTACACAAATTCTAAAAATAAAAAAATGCGGCTGATTAAAAATTTATTCCTGAATAATATGAATAATATTAATATCTAACATCTTAAAATTTATAAAAATTTATTTATAAAAATTTATTTAAAAAAATTAAAAAAAAAAAATAAAAAAACAAAAAACCAATTTTAAATCCCCATTTTTCTTAACTAATATTTTTATAACCAATAAAATGACTACTAAAAATTTAGGCCCATGCAATGTTTTAAATTGTGAAGCAAAAGATGTTAAATTTAGAAGATTCACCAAAGATGGTTTAAAAAATGCTAAAAAATCATGGCACATATGAGGATTATAATTACCTTGAAATTAATGATCAACTTTGTCCTAAACATTACTTATCAATTGTACAATCAAGTAGAAATAAATCAAATAATCAAAAAAGAAAGTCACAAGATTTTGAAGATGATAATAATATTATTGAAATTGATGACATTATAGAAGATGTTGATACTAATAACACTGAATTCAAATTATCTGAATTGTTAGGAAACTTAATTAATGATAATCAAATAAACCTAGACAATTGGTCAAATATAGATGTTGATGTTCAAGATGATGCAGTATTGTTATCTAGAAATGATTTTGATTGCCTAATGAATAAAATAAAAGAAATGCAAATAAAGGTTAATCAATATGAAAATAATAAAGAGTACTTAAATCAATTTCGTAATAAATTTGAATTACTATCTGATCTTTTATACATAAGGCAAAGAAACTTAAATTTAGATGTTGAATTGGATCCAGAAAATTTCAAAAATATGATTGAGCAACATGAGCCAGAGCTAAAAGGTTTTTTTGATGAGTTGGTTCACATCTTCTTATCATTTAAAAAATCTGGAGATAATAAAGATAGTATAGAAAATGCCAAAAAATCACTTGTAGGATTCTGTTACTTATTAGTTGGATTAAAAAATCAACGAAATAATTCACTTCAATTAGAAATAGGACTCTACTTATCTGCTTCTGGTGCAACTGTAGAATGTATTGATATAATGTCAAGATTAGGAATTTCAGTGTCTTATAAAACATTAGATAGACATAAGAAGAAAATTTCTAGTAATCATAAAGAAAAAATTAATAATTATTTTGAAGAAAATGCAAGTAAACTATTTTGTTTTAATATAGATGATTACCATTCAATCCATGGTTACAGAAATCCCAACACAACAACGCTTTCAACAGCTTGTCATATGGCTACTTGTGTTTCTAAAACTGTAAAAGATAGTAATGCTGTACCAGCATATGTTGATGGCATTCCAGTACATAACCTTAAAAATATTGAAGCAGATAGGATTATTAAATATTTAAATGATAAATATTTTAGTTCATTAAGTATAAGTTATAATGCAGTAAAACATAGTTGGCTGAGAAATAATGCAGCTACCTTTGAACAATTTGATAGACTAGATCTTTTGTCAATTCATTCATATAATTATGCCATAGAAAGTCTTTGTGATGATAGATCTATGAAAAATTGCCATTTAGTTGATATCAAAGAATTAAATTTAAAAAATTTGGATTATTATTTAAATGCTCTTAAAATCATAACTGGAATTCCTTCTTTAAATAATTACCTACAAAATAATATTATACCAGTTATTGCAGACTTCCCAGGCCAATTATTTATACGTAAAGCAATAACTCTTCTTCATAAACATCAAAATCAGCAAAATAATAATTTTCACCAAATACCTTCAATAATCAATAATTTTGTTCCAATTCTTGGTCCATTACATGTCTCATTGAACATGAGGGAAAATATAGTGGTTGTGCATTGGGACTTTTTTGAAATAATGTATAAATCAGTCTTTGGAATTAATAAAGTGTTGGCAGCAAAACCCAAACTCTGGAGAATAAATCAACTCCTTGAACTTCTTAGGTCTGCCTGGATTGAAGTCTCTTCAGAAATATATAAAAAATTTGGTGGTGTGTGTAAAGATTTGGAATATCAAACAATGATAGATCTTTTGGATAATTTGATTCCAGCTGCATTGGACATTTATGCTATTATTTTTCAATCAGGTTCTTTTGAAGAATACATAGATACAATTTTTAGATTATGGAGCTTTGCTTTAAGATGGAAACGGAAAAATTATAATAAAATACCACTTGCCTTTCTTTCCGATTATTTCTACTGGAAAGACAACAACCATCCATTTCTTGAAGCAATTCAATCTCAACTTGTTAATTTCAATGACTACTATGTTGAAAATTGGCATAGTAAAATTAGAGCTAATACCAGTCCACAATATTCAGCTGAAGCAATAACTTTACAAGCATTAGTATTAGATGCTCAGGATCAATCATTTATCAACACATTTAAAAAATTGAAAAAATGCCCTTACAAAGAATCCATGTTTAATTTTCTTAAATATAAAACAAGTTTGTTCTTAATTGATTATTTTCATAAAATTTATCTAAATGTGGGAGGAAGTAAAAACTTAGCAACAAAGAATATTACTTAAAAACATTAAATAAAGAAGTCAAATCAAAGTGTATTCCAACAGGATATCATACCCAGCAACCACCATCTTATAATAAATGTGATTATTGTTATTCTAATTTTGAAGATAATTATGATCAAGATGCAATAATGTTAATATGTGGTCATGCATTCCACAAAAATTGTTATGAAATGAAAAAAAATCAATGTACCTATTGCTTGGAATTTTATAAAGAAGGTATAATTTCCAACGTAACTTCTTACATAAAAAGACTAGGAAAAGAAAATTTGAATGAGTTGTTGAATGAAGATGAAGAATCCCGCATAACAGAAGATGATGAAGAGGTGGAGGAAGATATAACTGAAGAACAAATAATAGCTTTTGACTTTAAAAATGCTTTTGATTTAATTAAAGATTGGTAAATTTCAAAATAAAAAAAATTATTTAAACTCAAATAAATTGTGTGCATATGTGTAGACCTTACTCCAAACTTTAGTTCATATCTAACTTTTGATCTAGCGAGGATCTGGGGGATCTTGGTTAACCAAACAGTAAAGACAAAAATAACGAATATTTCCATTCAAAAAAATATATATTTGCTACACCAGTTTTTTCACACATATACATCTTTTTTCTATTTTAAAACAATTGAAAATTATTTGTTACACTGTATAAATTATTAAATGTCACATTCGTCACATTTGATCTGCAACAGTGTCCATTATGCTAATAAATACGTTAATAAATTTTAATAAATTTTTTTATTCTTATTGGTATCACGTGCAACCAATGAAATGCTTTGTTTCTCTAAGTGCACACCCCCTCTAAGTGCACGCTATCACTCATTCCCGAGGGGGGTGCACTTAGAGGGGATTGACTGTATGTACGGTTTTTTTAATGGATATTACACGGAATACTGTAAGGGAAAATTTACCAATTTAAAAAAAAGAAATAAAAACAAAAAAAAACAGAATTATATTCAGAAGATACTCAGCTATAATACTAATATACATTTTTAAATGTTATTGCATGGCGAATTTCTAAGGAAACAATAATAAAAATAAAAATTCCAAAAGACCCGTCACGATATAACAAATGTTGATTGTGATTTTTTCATCACTGGTATTTGTTACCTTCAATACCTCTCTGTACCAATAACTATATATTATACATTCCATACTCAAAGTTGGAAACAATACCTCTCTTTTTCACTGACTAGTAGCATTTTGAAAAATGTGTTTTTATTATATCCGTTACACTATTGGCAATTTTTGATGAAGACGTTTTCATCAATGGTGTTTGTTACCTTCAAAGACCTCTCTGTACCAATAAACTAGATATATTATACTATTCCATATTCAAAGTTAGAAATGATATCTCTTCTTTTTCACTGACTAGTAGCATTTTGAAAAATGTGTTTTTATTATATCCGTTATACTTTCAGCAATTTTTGATGGTGTTTGTTACCTTCAAAAATCTCTCTGTACCAATAAACTAGATATATTATACTATTCCATATTCAAAGTTGGAAATGATATCTCTCTTTTTCACTGACTAGTAACATTTTGGAAAATGCGTTTTTATTATATCCGTTACACTTTCAGCAATTTTTGATGGTGACGTTTTCATCAATGCTGTTTGTTACCTTCAAAAATCTCTATGTACCGATAAATTAGATATATTATACTATTCCATACTCAAAGTTGGAAATGATATCTCTCTTTTTCACTGACTAGTAGCATTTTGAAAAATGTGTTTTTATTATATCCATTACACTTTCAGCAATTTTTGATGGTGACGTTTTCATCAATGCTGTTTGTTACCTTCAAAAATCTCTCTGTACCAATAAACTAAATATATTATACTATTCTATACTCAAATTTGGAAATGATATCTCTCTTTTTCACTGACTAGTAGCATTTTGAAAATACGATTTTATTTATTGTTTTCTTTGCGTTGTCGATCATTAAAAAAAAATAACTTAGTGATCGACACTATATGAGATTACTTAGTTTTGATTTAATTAGACTGTAACACCCCCCAATAATTTATTGTGTCTTTGATTTCTTTGTTCATAGGTATATGTACATTATTATTTGATTATAAAGAAAAATAGAAAATTTTAAAATATATTATAGGAATATATTAAAAGAATCCACTCTATCAAAAAGATCTCAATTTCTTCAAGAGAATTATTATTATTTGTGGTTTCAATTTCAGAATTAAACGATTTGACATTTGTAATTGTTTCTTCAAGAGGATCATTCATAATGTCAATTTCATTGGAAATTAATATTGTAGAATTAGTGCCTATATAGTATTACAGCATTACCATTACAAAAACAATAACCCACTATTCTTATCAGAAAACAGTGGCCCATAGATTTCCTTTGCTGTTGTAAACATTTTTCATAAAAATAGGCATTTAATAAAGCAAGAAAATTTTTTTGGAAATAAGCTTTTTTTAAAAACCATAAGGATCTACATAATGCATTATATAGAAGCGAGGGATAACTCTCTTATCCCCCACAATTCAACGGGAAATTTGGCGTTATCCCCTACTTTGCGGGGAATAACTACTATTTATTAAAAAATTACATGTCAAAAATTTTTTTTTCTTTTTTTTATTTGGCATCTGAATTTCAAATCAAAAAAAAAATCCAAAGTTATTATATAATATCATTACTCAAGACATTTAAACTATAGTAGCCAGATAAATAAAAATAAATAAATAATACATAATAAGTGATAGGATTTAACTTATTCAAATAAGTCATCTGGTATAGCTAAATCAATTTGTTTAGAATCTACAAAATATTTATCACAAGAGTGGATATTAATAAATATTGTTAATTTAATAAAAATGAAAATAGTCAATGATTGAATATTAATAATTACCATTATTATTACCAATAATTGTTACTTTATTGGAATTCACAGGTTGGGGAAG